TAGGAAACAAAACTTCCAGAACACGGCCACACAGCCCGGGAGACCCACACCAGCCATCGTATGCCGGCCGTAAAAGCCTTCGACAATACGATGGAAATTCTGTTCCCAATTACCATCATTAGGTGACGACTATCTGTATGTGTAAGCATGCATATCTGAAAGAAAATCAAAATTATGCATTAATAGGTTCCAAAATAGCTTTGGATCTCCTTGTTTATTTTCACTGACCCCTCAAGGCTAACTACGGACACTTCCTACATTTCAGTGATGCAGCCCTGTCTCTGAAGAACAAGAAAAAACAAAATTATTATTACTGAAATAAGAACTGACATTTCATGTTCTAACCAATCCAACAAGAGAAACAGGTGAATATTATAATGGCAATTGCAACATGGATAAATTATTCAAAGGCCCTGATAAAACTCCTACAAAATAACTGAAACTATAACTGTCCTAAAATTGGTCAGGAATAGCAACAAAAGGTAGTTGATGATCAGATAGGTGCTTTGATTCTCATCAAATTTTAGGGACAATGCAAAATTGATCTGTAAATAAGTAATCCTAGTCCATTGATTTTCAACATTCAACACCAAAACAGAAAGTGTGAATCGATACCATAAATTAGAAATGTAGAAAGGAGAGGAAATAATCACAAATGTCTTAACAATATAGATAAAGCTGGTGGGAAATCTCTTGCATATCCCAGCTGCAGTTTCCATTCTCTTCTGCAAGGATGGACAAACTTTTTTCAGCACCAGTCAGCTTATTAACCTATCAACATTCTCCTCCTCCTCAGGCTGCAAGGAGTACAGCAGCAGTATCCTTGCAATGGGTAGAGCTATCATTTTTAATTCCTTTTTAAATTTTAGGAACAGGATGTTGCCAAAAATTGTCATTTTGCTGCTGAATTTCATCAGCACAATTATAGGGTTGATATACAAAATCCATTGCCTCCCCCACCTATCACATCCTTTGGTTCTTTCTTTGGACACTCCTCAGTCTTTCAGCTACACTTGTCACTTGCTTTCTGTAAGTTTCCTTTACTTTAATTCACTATCTCCTTCAGTAGGACAGGAGGCAGTATTGCCGCTGATTTCCACAACCTTATTTTGGTAGGCTTTTACTGGCGTGGCTAGAAAAGCTACTCATCTTCTTACCTGCATTCATATGCATACTAAATGTTTATACAAATATCAGAATCATAGATTGGCATGCAGAATGTACTCATGATTCATCCCATCTCCATGCATATATGTGGTTGTTAAAAAAAAGCTTGACAAACCACAAATCCTCCTAAGTTTTTAAATAGAAGATATTATAGTAATTTGGAATGCATTTGGCCAGTAATTTCATTTATTTAGTAATTTAGCATGATAGCAACCTCTCCTAATATCTATGTGTCCAATGGCCAATGATTTGACACATGCTTTTTATGCTGAAATTTACACATGAAAGTGGAATGAATCACAATGAATTCTTACAATGAATTGCAATGACCAGTCAGGCAAACATTTTACCTATGTATGATAGAACATATATCTTCTGTATAAGCAATTAGTCTTCATGAGCTCCCTTATTTTGTTTAGAGTTAATAGATGAGCTTAGATATTGGAAAGGAATTTACTTATTAAATGTAATATCTAAGTGTTGTTGCCTCATCTGCAATTAAATAATTTTGAATTTTCCATCCCCTGCATAGTCAGATATCATCATCGCATATAAAAACTGAATCTGGCCCATTTTTAATCATTTTATTTGTGATCCTACTGTACATTTTGTAAGATATTTAACTTTAATTTTGATGCTTATTGTATGTTAATATTTTAAGTTTCAGAAGTTGGCTTCTTTACTCCCGTTCGCAGATTAGTCTATTAAAAGCAATGTTGTTGCCCAAAATTTCTGTAAAAATAGAATGGATCCTTACTTGTTTTTAAGTGTAATACATGATCAGCTGAACCCGATACCATTTCTATTCCTATGACAGAAAAATGTTCACGTGACCAGCTACTTATTCCAATACATTTAATGTTCATTACACAATGGTATCTTGCTTCTTCAAGATCTTTGTACATAGCGAGACCATAAGGAGTCAGCATTATTTTCCCAGGATACTCAATAAAAAAATTCGTAAGACTACCTTTTTTAAAAAACAGAAGGGAAAAATGTTAACAAGATTGTGGGATTGAAATACTACATGAATTACAGACAAAAGATAAAGGAAACTAAATCTAGTCATTTACTAATTTATCCACATTTCCCAGAGGAATAACCATGATAACTTTTTCTAGCAAAAAAACAATAAAATATTCTGAAGCATCTTGAATGCTTAACATATTTATTAATGATCAAGTTCAGATCATCCATGAAAGATATATACAGTACTGTGCAAAAGTTTTAGGCAGGTGTGAAAAAATGCTGTAAAGTAAGA